CCCAATCACACGTTGGTGGGTGGAGTTAGTGTAAATAGCCTCTGCCAACAAGGTGGGCTGTTTGCACTTAGTGTAAATAGACACTACGATTTTTTTTTTATTCACAACAGTTAAACAGTTGCCCACAGAAAAAAACAGGGGGTGCTGCAGCACCCTCAGCACCCCCACTTCCCGCACCTATGGCTCCACTGATTATAACAGAGCTTTGTGAGTGACAACATGAGTGACAGCTTTTTAGTGACTATAAAGGCAGCATATGCTTTAATCAATTCAGAATTTGAATAAATTCAATCATGGATTCACTCTCCGATAACCATTCATACAAAATGGCCACTTGCCATTTTATAGCATTTACTACTTCAGTTAACTGAATGAAAGAGTAGTAGATACAAGGTGGTGTGATTGAGTGGAGGTGGGGATTCATTAACATACTCATGGATCAGCGGTGTTAGAACGAGCCGTTTTAGGGGGGCGTGGCAGAGTCTTAACTTTGATAAAGAATATCTCTTTGGTTTTGAGACTTTAGTCTTTGCAACTTCAGGGATCTTATCTATGCACAATCAGCTTGTAACACTCCAAAGAGAAAGGAAAACTTGAAATCGCATCATATGACCCCTTTAATGAGGTAAAGTTGTAGAGTTACATGCAAGCCACTTTAAGAAATTATTTTCACAGGGGAAAAAAAATAGATAAGTATTTTTGATTCAAAGATACGTTTTAAGGGATAAGATTAGTGACTGCAGGGGGACTTTTAAGATCACACTAGTTTATGAATACCTCTTCAATGAGTCTGAACCTAAAATCATCTGCCTCAATATTGAACCACTATAGGCTAAAGACTCTAAAGTGAGTTTAATTTGACAGAGAGAACACAAAATCCACTCACAAACCGAATTTGTTTACAGTGAAAAATACAGTATCACATGAAACTCAGGAATAAAGGAAATTCACAAAATGCTAAACACTGGTCTCATACGTTTGCTCCTGTGATTGCCGTAAGTCTGAAAACATCAGCAGATTTACAGAACAGATCACAGAACACACAACTTCAGCTGTATCAAAGCAAATCATTTTGTAAACCAAAGAAAGCTTTAACCTCTCTGAAAGCCTAATTCCTAAAAACTCCCCAGTGATCTAACATGTGTCAGCATGGACAGCTTTTATATCTTATTCATTAGAGTCAAACTAAAGTTCTAGAAGCATCTAAAATGTGTTTCCTTAAATATATAATTCATAAATAAGCCCCATCATAAATGGAAGAAGTTTGCATGTTATCAAACGAGACATTTTAAACTACTGTACATTTATCTAAGTTTGTTTTCAAAAAAATTTAATGCATTTGACAGTGTTATTACAAGATTTCAAAGAATTAAACACAACTTGAAGTAAACTTGGCTGATAATCATTGATCTTTTAGCCCTACTTGTGATCATGGCCCAATTTCTGCCCTATAAACCATGTAGGATTAGCAAACTGTAGCATCTATATATAACAGAAAGCAGGCAAAACTTGAGCTATATTTAAAAAGACAACACCTGAGATCTCTTCTGCCTTCCAATTTCTTCTAAAAAAGCAAGGCTTTCTATTGGTAAACATTTTATTGAGTCAATATAGAAATATCTAATTGATGAGGAAAAATTAAGTCAACTGCAAACACATTTCTTTCCGATTTTCTGCTAAACTTTATATTCAGGCAGAAAACTTTACCTTTTCATCTTTCTCCAGCCCAGCATTGCCTGATCTCTCAGTGGTGCTGCCAGCAACTGAAGTCTCATCTTTGCTTCTCTCCTCCTCACCTTTCACAAGCCATACTGCCAATTCAGATTAATCACATGATTTAGAATACAAAATAATCAAAGTCCAGTTTCACAGGTACAGATTGAGTCTGTTGCTAGTTCACAACAATACAAATTATTGATTTATGTTAACAACTTATTTTAGTCCAAGTCAAAGAAATACAGTACTTGAAAAGGAACCTTTTAAAACCAAGCATAGGAATAAATAATTGTATAAAATATATTTAGATAGATCTATATAGCTATTTTGACATCATCAAACATAACAAATTTGATTTACTGATGTCATAAAGCGTATCTCCGGTCTGTAAAAAATGAAATGACTGTGTCATTAGGGGCCAAGCACTGAAGGTGCATAGACACCTATTGTATCTGTTAGTTTTCTTCTTCTTCTTTCGCTCAGGAAGTGTATGGCAGCCCATAGAACCGCTTGCGGGAAAGTTATGAAATTTGGTACACAGATAGAGGACAGTCTCAATATTAACCTTGGCAAATTTGGAGTCTCTATCTCAAACTCTCTAGTGCCACCAATAGGCCAAATTTCCAGTCATATTTCTGCTAATAACTTTTGAACCATAAGGTCTAGAAGCAAAATTCTTTTTTTTCTCTGATTTTTTTTCTATGAGTCAAGATTTTACGCAATTTTGAATTTTTTTTTTAACTCGTCCTAGACTTTTTCTTTTTGAGGTTTAGAGGTTTGTCTGATTTTCACCAAAATTGGCTCAGATCATCTTCAGACGATGCTGGAAAAAAGTTATCAAAAGATTTCTGATAGACCAAACCGTTCTTGTAAAGCATGTTAACAAAATTTGACGAAATTTGCGCAAAAATGGACATGAGGATATATCTTGGATACAACACTTGGATTCTGACCAAACTTGGTACATGTTATACCAAGCATGACCTGAAGGCACATGAGTAGTTTCGGAACAGCTCCACCCACTGGTCAAAATGTATAAAAAATTTACCTTTTTGTTTCTAATTTCTGAACAGTTTGACCAAAAGTCATAAGTTTGGTCTCGTTAGATTCAGAGCGGCATACCAAATGAAATGATACCCAATTTTCCTATGCCAGCAATGCTGTGGACCATTTCGAATTTTGTAGTAAAATGCTGCATTTTACAAATGCTTAAGCGTATTTTTATGAATCTTATAGAACCGTTTGCGGGAAAGTTATTAAATTTGGCACAGAGATAGAGGGCAGTCTCATCATTAACCCCAGCAAATTTGGAGTCTCTAACTCAAACTCTCTAGCGCCACCAACAGGCCAAATTTGCACTAATGTTTCTGCGAATAACTTTTGAACAGTAAGGTCTAAACGAAAAATTAATTTTCGTCTGATTCCTTGGCTCATACGGAGTCGAATGCGTACCATGATTTAAATTTCTCTGGGTCAAGATTTTTCGCAATTTAGAATTTTCTGAAAAATCTGCTTTTTAGAACCTACACAGTTTGTCCAATTTTAAACCAAAATTGGCTCAGATCATCTTCAGAGCATTATGGTAAAAAGTTATAAAAAACTTTTTGATATACCAAACCGTTTTCGTAAAGCGCGATAACGAATTTGACAAATGATCTGAGCCAATTTTGGTTTAAAATTGGACAAACTGTCTAGGTTCTAAAAAGTAGATTTTAGTGCAAAAATGTACATGAGGCTATATCTCCGCAACGCTTAAGCAGATTCTGACCAAATTTGGTATGTGTTATAACAAGCATGACCTGAGGGAAAATGAGTAGTTTCGGTACAGTGCCACCTACTGGTCAAAAGATATAAAAAATTGACATTTCTGAACGGAACGACGTACCGAATCAAATAGTACTTATTTTTTAAAGTCTGCCTTTTTGGGCTTTGACCATTTTGAGTTTTGTAGTAAAATGCTGTATCAAAAAATGTATTTAACAGGGGTCTCCAACCCTGCTCCTGGAGATCTACCATACTGCAGATGTCACGAATCCTGTCCATGGACTTCTGTTATTGGATTACCCCTCTTCAAGCCCTCTGGATACTGTTCGCCGATCGAAGACCCACGCTAGCCCTAGGAATATTCTTTGTCTTGCCTGTGATATACCTGTGTTGTCTGACCCTTGCCTGTTTATTGATCACGCCTTTGTAAATAAAGCCTTGCACATGGATCCACACGTCTCGCATCTCGTTCGCCCCGTAACAGCAGAGTTCAGCTTTAAAGGCAGGGTATGTGATTTTTCAAAAACACTTTAGAAAACTGATTGGGGCCGAATCGCAAAACAAACTTGTAGCCAATCAGCAATAAGGGGCGTGTCTACTCGTGATGTGGAGGAGAGAGCTTTCAGTGCATGGGACGGACATTAGCGA